GTAAATCAGGTAATGTCCACTGTGTTTCTTCTAAAAAAAACTATCATCTATATGTCTTGCTTCTGTCATATTTACATGCTTACTACCAAATGTTTGAACTAAATTCTGAAATTCTAAATTAAACTTATGATTACATTTATTAGACAGTTTTTCTATATACATTAAACTAATACACAAATTTTTGTATTCTCCTTTCATATTTTTTTTTTTTGTGCCTAAGTTAATTAATTTAAAAAATTCATTAATTATCATAATATAATTAGAAATACAACCTATGACTGATAAATTTGAACTTAAATCTATTTCAGCTGTTGCAATTACAGCTTATTAGTGATTATCCCATCTATCATTATATATGTACTCTAAAGTTTTTGTGCCTACTTGTGCTCTGGTTAATCTTGCTATTCCAATTAATGAAATTCCTATATGAATCTGGCTAAAGTATGATTTTCTCAAGTGAGTAACTGCTTATTTACTAAGTAAATTAAGTGTAAGTCCCTATCAATACAACTAATGTCATGTTGACTGATGCTACTTACAATTCTACTTCTATTTTTAAATAAACCTAATTAATATAAATTATATTTATTTTTCTATGTTCTTTCAAAATTGCTTCTAATAAATTTTTGTGCTTGTTCTTCATTTAGATAAATATTTTCAGCTCTAACTATTTCTTTTCATTTTCTTATAAAATGTTCAATTTTCTATTATCAAAAGGATTAAGGTTATTTGTACTAAAAGTTAAGGTTTCTAATTTTTGCAACAAAAATGGTGGAAATCATGAAAATGTATTATGTAAAAGTTGATTAATTTCTATATTTGTTCTTAAACTTGATCTAATTTTTTTGCTAAATTTTGGATAATTAAATTATTTTGTCTAATGAGAATATAATTACTAGCTACTTGCGTTGAAAATCTGTTAAACCTATTCGTCCTTTAAGTTTGGATATTTTTCTGTTAGTTTTAGAATCAGTCATTAAACTAATAACCTATCTATTTTATTATGTAACTTATCTACTTGCTCACCTAAATCCTTTTGCATTAATTGGAATTTTGTACTTCTAATTTTAATTGCTCAACTATTTCTAGTGATCTAATTTCTACTTACTTAGACTTACTATCTATGAGGACAATAAGTTCTTTTATATCTCTTTTGCTAGGAAACGTTTGGATACTTTTATTATTACCTTCTAACTGGGATATAATTGTATTGCATTAATGAATTTATAGGGTTACAATCTCTGTTTACAAGTTTCCTCTGATTTGATCTCCGAAAGATGTGTAGATGTGTAGGTTGTTAATTCAAGGGTCGCAATGACTTGATCTCGGATGAGCGGTTGCCGTGAGATTTTGGCTCTAGGCTATTTGAAGGATTGGCACGGTAGTAATGCTTGATGATTCTTCGAAGGTTTGGTGAAGAACGCATAGAGCTTTCTGAATTTTTCAAAGTGTTTTGGGAATTTGGGTGCTTGAGCTTTGACAACGTCTAGGTGCTTGAATGAATTCTAGATCCCTTTCCTTTGCCTTGTGGCCTTGTATTCATAGACTTTTCAAGCCTTGCCTCTAGATGAATTTGGACTTGGTTTGTGGCTTGCTTCATGATTTATTTTCATCAATCAATCAATCAATAAATCAATTATTTAATTTAAACAAAATCAAATAGTCAATCTTGCCCAATTTGGCATTTCAATTTACTTTAATTTAATTTAATTAATTTGTTTAATCTAAATTAAAATCAAATATTAATCTCCACCAATTGTTGACATGTATCTTTGATGACTTGTCCGGTCTTGATGAGTTATATGCCATGTAAGCCCTCGCATGCCAAAATTTAATGTATTTGGTGATCATTTATTTTCATCAAAATCTGCATGTCTACATTAATATAATCCAAGTTTTGTCTATTAATTTTTATAGATTTTTTTTTTTGAAAAATATTTTAATAACTGGTTTAGTAATATCAACAATACTATTTGCTTGTGGATTTTTCTCTCTATACAAAATATGATTATGTTTTCTTAATGGAAAATAACAAACTAAAATATTTTGGTCTAAAGTGATTTTTCTTTTTTGTGGTTCACTAATTTCTAAATTAAGGTAATCTATCATAAACTACGAACTATCTTTTTCTAAAGTTGTGGCTAATTGATTCTTCAAAACTCTTTTTCTTCTCTCAAAGTCTCTAAAGTGTGATATGTTGCTCTTTTTGCTTCTAATACGTTATGTTGCACTTCTATGTTCAAGATAATCAAGATAAAACTTTTACTTCCTCAAAGTTTTGCTAATTCTTTTAGAAACATATGCTAGACTTCTCTTTATACTAGTTATGGTTGGATGTCTAGGACTATAAATTTCTGGTGGTTATGGTGGACAAGGTATACGAAGACAATAATATGCAATGCTCATACAAAATTAAACAAGTGTGTGATATTAGTTGTGTTGATGAATTCCGTCCTCAATGTACTTTACTATTATAATTATACTTTTGAAATGCTAAACTTGATTATGATACCAAATTCGGACAGTAAACCCAGGTTAAATAGTCGAATGACCATTATAATAACTAGACCTTGCACATGGAACTTGACGTGTTTCAGCTAGGACTGCGTTTGGTTCAAAATGGTTTGGTTTTTTTTTTTGCCAAAACTAAAACCGAATCAAAATTTTGGTTCGATTTAAATTTTTTCGATTTTTTTTAGTTCGGTTTCAATCCGGTTCAGTTTTTTCCATGAATTTTTTTTTTAAAAAAATTTGGAACCAATTTGCAACAACACTGCACCAATTGAGCACTGAAGATGCAGAAACAAAAGAAAGGTGCTTCTGCCTCAAATAAATACGAACTGGGGTGACTAGCAATGATGCAACCACACCAATCCCTCCATGAAAATCTACTCCCAACAAATCATCAAACAATATCATAAAGAAATATCCTTTAAGAACCAAAACTTGAAATTAGATTTGCAATACGAACCCACTACACAAACCCACAACACAAAATCAAACAAATCTGCAATACGAACCAAAGAAACCCATAAATTTACACCAAAATTTCAGTCTCCTTCTCTAGCATTTACCCTAAAAAAAAACCCATAAAAATCTTAGCCTGGAGTGAGAAGATCGAGAAACGGAGAGACGGCGAGAGTGGGCTGTCGGGATGAAAGGAGGGCTGGCTGTGGGTTATGGAGAAGAGTGGAGAAATTGGAGGCAGGGACGTGAAAGGAGTCTGGAGGTAGGGGACGAGAGAGAGAGAGAGAGAGAGAGAGAGAAGAGGGGAATGAAAAATATAAAGTGTAGCTGCTACTGCTAGTGGCTAGGGTTGTGTTGACTTCTAATTCCACAAAAGACTAGATTTCAATCTTTATAAATGTTTTAGTCGTATAATCATAACAAATAAAACATGTAGCTTGAGAAAAGCTTTTCAAGCTGGAGTGTAAGGGTTTAAACCCTCATGCCAACATAATTTTGTGGAATTTTTATGATTTTTATAATTCAAATATTATAAAAAATAATTATATATATATATATATATCAGTTCGGTTCTGTTTCTAGACCTCAAAAACCAAAACCAAACCAACCAAATTCGGTTTGGTTTTTTTCAATTCGGTTTTTGTCGATCTCGGTTCGGTTTTCGGTCCTGTTTTTTTCGGTTTTTGATTTTTCAAATCCACCCCTAGTTTCAGCATGACAGCCACTCACAATGCAGGTATAATGCTTTAAAGGTTGAAGTTAGAGGTATGGAGAACTCAGATGTACCCTGGTTAATGACTAGTTATTTTTGAGACAAACATTCAGCTATAATAGAGTGCTCGAACAAAGCAAGATCGTCATTTTAGCAAGTTAATAATATAAATATAATAGTGTTTTCCTATTTTAAATTGGAAGAAATTGGAAAAATCGACTTTTGGTTGAAAAGACAAGTGCTTAAAATTTGGAGAAATCGAAGAGAAAACTTAAAATCTGTGAAATTGAAATAGAAAACACAATGGTATGAAAGCTTTCAGAATAGGCAGAGAAGAGAGAGAGAGAGAAAGAAACAGAAAGACTGACTCACTTCACCCCTTCTTACATCGCCGCCGTCTACTACTCCGGTGGAACTCTCCAATTCCTCCAATCTGGCACCCTTCGCCTCGTCAATGACTCCAGAGCCACTCTCTGGGCTCTAAAACTGCCAGCCATGGTGTATCGTTGGTTGAAATTGACGATTCAATTCAGGAAATTGGTACCCTGAAACGACACTAGTGTTCTGGGGAGAAAGGAGAGAGAGAAATGAGGTGAGGGGAGGAGGGAGATTGGCATTTTGGGAGAAAGGAGGGAGAGTTTTTTTAATTAATTTTAATTGTTAAATAAAAAATTATTAATTTATTATTAATTAAATAAATTTTTAGTCCAATTGACGAAGGTTATCATTTAACAGTTAAATTGACAAAAAATTTAACGAATGTATGACATTACAACGAATTCATATGTTAAGGTATGACATTGCAATATTTTAAATATGAGGTATGAGATTGTGATACGACCTATAGTTAAGGAAGTTTTGTATAATTTACTCTCAAAGATTTAAGCTTATAACTCTATCTATATTTAGATTAATCTAACGGTCTTAATTAAAATGGTGCTAACATGACCTCGTTTTTAGGTCTGTGGGTGAGCATTATTGTAAATAAAGAATTGTGTTTGTGTAGGTGAGCATAGTAGTAAAAGAAATAGTCAAATTTTTCTCCCCATTTCTCAACAATTTCAGTGCATTATCCCGGATTGAAGCACCCTAATAATCTACGGAGCACGGTGATGGAACCTAAAAAAATGAAAAAGAAAGCAAATAGGAAATGCATCCAAACGAGAGTCAAATTTTGTTTATGCTCTTTTGTCTCCTCCACCTGTCGTAACAAATTTTTTTTTCAAACGTGACTAAAACACGACGTGTTATTAAACAAATAAGACTATATTCGGATAAATAACTTCCCTAACATAGTATTAGTATCTGTGTTGCGATAACATTGAAAAATCTCTTGTCGCAATAAGACCATGCAATAATCAACAGATGTCGAGCGAGAAGCAACAAAAAGAGAAATTAGGGAAATCATTTAGGGCCTGGCTCAATGCAATACTCACATTTTCGAAACTGAAGAGACCCATTTCTTTAAATCAATTCGATGGCCGATCACTCAGACGCTTCGCCTCTCATCCCTCCGAAGCAGATCACCGAGCCTAGCGAGATCGACCTCGAGGCGGGGCCTGGCGAACAAATCCAGTGTCGAATTTGCCTTGAAAGTGATGGTATTTCTCTTCCACTTCACTTATTCGCTCACCCAATTGATTTGATTTTCTATAGGATTGGTTTTTGCCAAGTTCTAATTTTTTTGTTCTTTTCGAGTCAACCAGCCTAATCAGCGTGTCTTGCAATTGGAAATGTTGCACAATTCTAATTTTTTTTTTTTTAATAAGTTCAAATTTATTTCGAATTTTTGTGTAAAATTATGATTCTTTTTGTGGGTTCCTTTTAAATGCTTAGAGTTTGGTATTAGAAGCTTATAGTGGGATTTTTTTTTTCACTCAGGCAGGGACTTCATTGCTCCGTGCAAGTGCAAAGGGACTTCCAAGTATGTCCACCGGGAGTGTTTGGATCATTGGAGAGCTGTAAAGGTTTTGTTGCCATCTCTATTTTTTCGATTTTGGTTTTCTCTTTTCAAATTCAGTGCATATAACACCATGTTGTGGTTTTCCATACAAATGCAAGCTCATTGATCCCATGATTCTCATTGGTCTACTCTATCGTAATTAATTACTTGTTGTCGATCATTCTTATCAAACTGTATTAGTTCCGTTTTATGATTCACTTTCAGATGTTTAAAAAATAATAGAATGCAAATCCAATGACAAGCAAAGGTCATAAATTAGAATCTAGATTGTTGTGTCGTGTATGGGCATCAAAATGTGCTTGTTGTAGTCAGGTATGAAACAAATTCTATTGAAGTGAAGTTCCCGTCAACCCTAATGTCTCTGGCTGTCTGGCATGCTGAAATGGATTTGAGATCTTGTTAGGCTTGCATTGTCATGATTTGTTGCCACTTGCCAGCTGTTTGTTAAGAAGATATTGATCGCAGTGGTTTGCATGAGTAGAAAATTAGTTTCGTTTTCCTTGTTGATGACTACTTCAGTCAGTTTTAGACTGTTGCAGTAAGACCACATTTGAAGACCTTGGAAATGGGCTTTAATTTGTCTTTGCTTAATGCGTATGATTTATCTAAGACGAATTAGCACCGTCTGTCCACATGTTGGTGTCGGGCTTTTGTTAGGTTTCTCCAAATGATATCTGATTATCGTATCTAACTTTTTCAGGAAGGGTTTGCATTTGCTCATTGTACAACCTGCAAGGCTCCTTACCACTTGAGAGTTCATGTTGTTGCTGACAGAAAATGGCGAACCTTGAAATTCCGATTCTTTGTGACGAGGGACATTATATTTATATTTCTGGCCGTTCAGCTTGTAGGTCATTGGTTTTTTCTTTTAGTTGCTTTCTTTTGCTTTGATAGTTTGCATATGATTTGCATATCTAAACATTGATTATTCTTGTTCATTGTACAGGTGATTACTTCATTGGCCTATTTGGCTTATTTAATAGATGGTTTCCAGCAATTCTGGCTTCGTCTTGCATGGGGTTTTGACAGTGAGCTTAGTTTCTACTATATATGCGGTAAAGTCTCAAGTTATAATGTAAATGTTTATGCTAGAGAAATAATTAGTGATAAATGTTGTTATAGTGTATGCGATTCTGATTTTGGGTCATACAAAATTATTATGGCACCTTGGCCTGAATTCTTTCTGTTTGTTAACCGACTTATTTCTATGTCTTTGTGATCAAGATTTTTTAGATGAATATGTTCATCAGATTGTTCAGAAAAAAGAAGAGGAAGATCTTCTAAGATTACTTTAGATTTGAATTAATTGCACTGATACACTGATGTTGCAATTCAGAAATGTTATTGTTTATTGTCACGTCTTTATGCAGATGAGATTGAAATTACATGGTAAAAAAAAAGATCATTAGTAAACATGTGATTGAGTAGACATATGGACTGGAATGAGAATATCACTTCTTTTTTTTTTCTTCAGTTTTTTATACTCTATCCGTATTTGTCATGGACATGTACTTGATTAGGCACTAGCACTTGCAATTGTATAAGAAACTGTGGCCTTCAGGGCCCACCGCAGTATTGCTTCCAATTTAAATCATTATTTACCAAGCAAGCTCTCTTATGTTTTGATCAAAGCAGCTGAGAGGATATTATGGTCCTCGAAAAGTAACTAGTTAAGGGCCATAGGATTAGTGGGTCTAGTTTTGGTGCTAAAACACTAATCAAGGATCATTCATATAAAAATAAGTTTGTAAATAACAGTACTACATGTTAAAATGTCTCATTTGTTATTGTGTCAATACAGAAACGTTTTCTTTCCCTTTTAAATACTGGAATAGAGGTGATAGAATGGAGATTAGATATGATGACTTTATTAAACGCGTGATCAACTTTATTTTTGTCTCCATCTGTTGAACAGTTCCCGACTGAAAGATTGACATTTAGGTGTGACAACAGTGAATACTCTTGTTCCCAGATGGAAGCACATGGATTCGTTTCACTTCACTTTCATGTTTGCTGATAAAATGGTTTCCGAAAACTCATGATCTTATGGGAATCTGTTTACAAATTAATGTTGTGTTTGTAGCATTCTGAATTTTACAGATCAATTTGATGTTTTAAGGTTCAGGAAATATATAATGAAGATCCGCAAATGTAGTCTAGTGATATTTTCTGTAGCCATGTTTAAACCAGAGAAGTTTTATCCCAATAAGAAAGAGCTAAAAGAAATACAGAGAGTGAGGGGGTTTCCAAGACCTTCACGGGAGGAAGATACAAACTGAAGGGGTAATACATTTAGTGGTGTGTTACTGGGTTACAAACTTATGATAAATGATCGGCTGAACACTGCTGTTAAATAATGACATTAGCATTTTGTTATGGTATCTCAATCTTTATTACACAGAGGAACAAAAATTTCAAGACAGTTAAATTGTGTTCTCGGATAAATCTTTTTTCTCATATGAAACATAGTTATCTCTCACAACACTACCATTGTTTTATACATAGTATTTCTACATTTTACTCTGGTTCTCTGATTTTTGGGGAAACTTTTGAGGGTTTAGGGTTTATAAGTTGTGTCCCATGGAAGTTTGTGTAGGAATCGTGACCTATGGAAGCTGGTTTGATTGGAGTCTCATTGCTACCTTTGACCGCAAGGAGTATATGTTTTAAGTGGTTTCTGTTGGAGATCTTTGTCTTAAGGTTCTGGAAATTAAAAAGAAAAAAAATAGCAAGATAGTGTTATGTTTCTTTTGACCACGATGATATCTTTGCTACAACTCTTTTTTTTATAACTTTTCAGTTCTTTAGCTTGGGAATTACTAATCATCTGATTCAAATATTGAAATGTAGATTTAGCATAATGGTAGAGTACTTGATTGCTCCTTTGTTCTCTGGGTTAATCTTCTCTTTTTTGGTTTTGGTAATTTTACATACTTATTGTTGACTACAGGAGCTTTGTTGTTTTTCGCTTTGCTTGGGTTGTCTGGCTGCTTCATTACTTGTTATGACCGTAGAGTGCGCAATGATTTGGCTCAGCCATGTCGTGAATTATGCCTTTGTTGCTGTCAGCCTGGGTATAAGTCTACACTTGGGAATCTTTAACCCAGTTGGTACACATGATTTAATTCAACAGGCTGTTTACGTGGTCATATTACACCTCTTAAATATATTAAGATTTTGTACGGGAACTATTATTAGCACTCCAAAAATCTAATTGTGAACTCCTCATAACAGTATTTTCCTTTCTAATATAGTAAGTTTGGAGTACACAATTGGATTTTTGGAGTGCCAATAACAATTCCCTTTTGTATTTACCCTGAAGAATTTGTGTTTGTAAGATATCGATGCATGGATAATAAAACCAAGTTAAAAGCTAAAACCACAGCAACTCTTAGATTTTACAGGTGTGCTTTGTATTGTTCTTGACAATCATCCTTCTCCCTTGAACATGTTAAATTTATTTTATTCAAATTAAAATAATTTAAGGGCATTTTTTTTTCACCCTCATTGGTTGATATGGAGGATTCTCTTAATAATAGTATAACGATTTTAAAATTTTGACGTTTGATTCCATGCATGCATATACTGGATTGTCGAATTTCTGTTCCTTTGTCCCTTTTCATTTTAATTGCTTCATTGGCAAATGAGGAAATGTATTTTCCTTGCATATATTACACTTTAGTAATATATTTTTTTATTTTATTTTTATTATTATTATAATTTTTTTATTTATAATTTTTTTTACTTAATATCTTGTACCACAACTTTTTGTTGACTTTCTATTTACCGCAGATAGGTTTCATTCATATTACCAAACTTTGTACTTGTGATTATCTATCATCTATATGCATTTTCTACAATTTCAACAATGTTTGAAAATTTGACTCAATACCTGATGGCATCAACTCAATTTTCTTTTGTTTGTTCCTTTGGGTTTACTGCATCAATAATTGGATACTCTATAATATATCACAACCCAGACACTTAGACCTCGTTTGTTAGAGAGGATTGGCTTGGGTAGGACTAATCAAAATGCCTTTACCATATCAAAGGCATTTTGTAAAGGCATTTTGAATGGAAAAAAGGATGAAAACTTCCTTATTTTGTCCAAGATGAAGATTACTTGTGAAGAAAAGTTGTCCTTTTAATTCTACCATCTTGGTGGAGATTAGTAGGGACACCTTTCCTTCATGAGTAACTTTCAACTTGGACAAAATATGAAAGTTGTCATCCATTTCTTCCTTTAAAATGGCTTCAATATAGTAAATAGTCCTATCCAAGGCAATCCTCTCTAACAAATGAGGCCTTATTGTGTGACATCTGTCCACTCCTTTTATCTGCGTAATATGATATGTTGTCCTTTTGATGCATTAGTTCACATGACAATCTAGTGTTTATTCATTGAAATCAAATTTTGGATGAGGAAGCTTAATTTTGAACAATCATTGCAGTGTGTGCGCAGACTGTCATTTACCTGGAACACTTTGTATGTGGACTGACTGTACCACATGCTGGGGAAGTTGTGCAAGTATGGCAGGTGAATGTGGTTGCTTGGGAGGCGCTGGTGAAGCAGGGCTACCAATATTATTTATAATGACTCTGATTGTACTGGGACTTTTTACCGTGATTGGGATATTCTACAGTGTCCTGGTAGCTACAATGGTTGGACAACGGATTTGGCAGCGGCATTATCATATACTTGCAAAAAGGATGCTGACAAAAGTGAGTTAGGGACCTTACTTTTATATTTGGTTTTTCAGGTCATGTTGATATACAGTGTAGACACTGATTACAGATTACCATTTCATCATGCACTAAACCAAGAAGTAAAGATCAATGACTGAACGTCGTTCTTGAATTTTTCTTGACTACTAAGGCCACCAAATTGTAGTGAGTTCAGTAGAGGGACATCTGTAGCAGGCTAAACATTAGCGCATGGTAACCCATGTCATCAATGAGAAGTAGTGTAGTTAAAACTATAATCTCTTAGCGAAACATGATCTAACTTTGCATCTACCCACACATGTTGCAATTAATCCTCAGTTTAAATCAAATTTTGCTAAAGCACTATGGTTTGGGACATAATTGTATTATTATAGACCTGTCAAAAGTTTTATTGTTTAGTCAAGCACTTATTTTGCATATAAATTTTAAGATGCGCTTCCAAGTTCCATTAGATTATGAGATGTCGATCATGTCTTCTTGGCCCATTTATGGAAAGAGGCATGTTTAGCTCTGGAAGCTTTTATGTCATCTCCTCAGCTTGATCTATGAGTTGTTTTGCTGATGAATTAGTGGGTCTATTTAAATTCGTAATGGCTTAAACAGATTTTTCTTTACTATAAACTAAATAAACAATTTATCATTTCTTTACGCGGTAATGATACTGCATATTGTCTACTGGATCTTTATTGGAAAAAGTTTGTTTACTCGTGTAGGAATATGTTGTCGAGGATGTTGATGGTGAGATGACCGGATCTGATTGGTCTGCCCCTCCTCTCCCACCTGAGCATATTCAGCAGCTGAAAGCGCTCGGCCTATTATAGATAAAGAGGGCTTGTTTACTGTTCAGCAAAATAACATGATATTGAGAAGACTGCCTGCCTCTGCATTTGGTGAGTCAAGTATTTTTCCTGTAGACTTCTGAGTCTCATTCACTTTGATCTGAAAAGGGTTGATGGTCCCGTAGCCATTTCTTCCTGTTCAGTTATATTTGTAAATTTTTGTACGAGAATATGTGAAATGGTACTGCCTTCTTTTTTCAGTGTAAGAAATCAAGATTAGGATAATCTCAAAGTAACTAACATGTACAGGATTGATGTTTTCAAGCCGTAAGGATAGTACGCGGTAACTTTCTCACATTTCTTTGTTTGGGGGAATGACTGAATGCTACCTTGTGCTAAACATTTTTACTGCTTATGTTATCTTGGGGTTTTATGTTTTTCCTTTTGTCCTTCCATTCGCAGGCAATAAAAATTACAAGTCTGAACTGCCTTTGCATAACGGTATTCTGAAACTGTGCCCTCGGAATTGGATCCTCTCCGAGGCAAAGCCTTGGGATCCTCCCGATCCAATGATAAGGATCATTGGATTTTGATCCAACGGCTACAAACAGGGAGGTCCCTCTAAAATTATAATAATTGTAGACGTTAGATCAAAATCTAACGGCCCGTGTTAGTAGATCAGCAGAATCCCAAGGCTTTGCCTCGGAGAGGATCCAATTCACTGTGCCCTCTAGTGAATCAGTTTAGTTAATGATAGAAACTAGTATCGGCTGGTTATTGTTTTAGTGACACTTCTCTTCAAAAAAATGCCCCGTAGCATTTGAAAACGCGGAACCAAATCCTGTAGTTGGCAATATTGCTTAGTACGAGATTAGAGGGGTGATTTTCCATAACTTGGTGCTAATTTGTTTAAACTTTTTCATCTTTCCGTAATATAGGGCATAAATTCAATTCATTCATGCTCGGATGTTTAAGAGAGATTAATTAGTATTACGATGTAAGTGATATTTCCTCTTCATTTGATGAAATATAAGTATTATATTTGTGTTAAGTTCAACACCTAACTAATGATCGGTTCATAATGTCGTCTAGTAAAAAATTTTCCCCCTTAGAGGTAAGACAGAAAAAAAGTAGCAGTAGCTAGACCTGGCATTCGTGCTGTGTTTTCTGTTCGTGTTGTTTTAGTGACATCTAATATCTTAACGGATCGTGTTGTGTAACTCCAGTTAATGTAAACAGGTAATATGACCTGATTTGAAATTAATCCGTTAATATTATTAGATAATATGATCCGATCTATTAAAGAAAAAATATTTTAAAAAATAAATAATGAAATGAAAATAAGTTGACCCAAAAAAATGGAAAACATAATACTAATTTAGCATAATGTTTTCCACATTGTCACATATATTTAGGATTAATCTCAGTTTACTATCCTCAATTTTCATAGTTTTCAACATTTAGTACATAAAGTTTTTTTTCATCCCATAATCATACTTAAGTCTTAAAGTTGCATAGAATAATAATATAATAATATATATTTGATGTACAATATGTACATATACACTATGACTATTGTATTTTATAGTAAATTTTTTTAGTAGTTTAAAAAATTAAAATTATCAAAATAACATTTTTCTTAAAGTGTTGAAACGGGTTATCCGTGTATCACTCTCATATAAATCTATTAAAGACCTGTTATTAACGGATTCTTATCGTGTGACCTGATTAGTTATCGTATCGATCCGACATCTGTTATTTTCGTATCATTTACGTATTGTGTTAACGAATCGTGTAAGAAAGTGTTAGATATAACAGTAGCTGCAGCTCTATCGGGTTTAGATTTTTCACAGAAACGGTGGATTTTCCCCATGCATGTATCCGCCACATAGATGTTTTGAACTACAATTATAATTTGTTTCAAGGTGATATTAGTTTTTCCCACAGTTATAATTCTAAATTACTTTTTTATGTTTATTAACCTACTGACTTATTTTAATCCAAATTAAATATTTTACTCCTAATTTTTGAGTTACTCAAAAAGTAGCTTACATGAAACTTAGTCACCACCACGTGACAGTAAGATTTTATAATTTATTGTTACATAATAATATATTACACAAAAACATCATGTGACCGTACACTCATATAATGTAAGTCCTCTTAATACGTACTCTTTTATTTATTTATTTATTTATTTATTTTTTTTTGTGGAAGACCTTAATACGTACTCTTTTGATGGAATTTATTTGATGCTTGAGGAGGTCGTCAAACATAAAATAGTGCATACATGTCATGCCGGATGATATAAATCTGTTATACACCACAGGTGTTAGGCCTCTAGAGGTTTTTAGCAATGCCTACCCACTTTCAGTTATATTTCCAACAGCCGCCCGCCACATGTTTAATTAAAATAAGGTTAATTTTTAGCTACGTCATCTGTAACTTGATTTTAATTTTACTTTGTCTATTATAATTTGAAAGTCGTTACTTTACTCTCTAAAATTCAAAATTTACTTCACTTTGTCCCTCGGAACACTATTTTGATCTCATCTTGCCCCTTGAAACTTAAAAGTCATCATTTTACTATATAAAACTCAAAATTCGCTCTACATTTTATTAATTCTGTTAATTTTGTTATGTGGGTCTTGTGGAGCCAAAAATATTCACAAGGTGACACGTGGATTTTTGGATGAAGAAGACAAAAATACCCTTGAGGCATATCAGAATTCCAACGCGCGAGTAGCAGGCAATCATCCTCAACCAAGTCAGAAATGCCTAAAAAAGGCAACAATTCAAAATTTATCTCATCAAATCCTTCTACAAGGTAATCCCAAAAAATTATTTCACCCCATATATCTTTTACCTAATTTCCCTTTTCTAGCTAAATCAATTAGCTAATTATTACATAACCTAATTATCTATTTATTCTAAATATTCTATAACCACCAAAACATTCCCCTTATGTTTAATTAGCCAATTAATACCTATTAAAATTGGCTAATTAAACCAAAATTAAACACAAAAACCCACCTAATGGCCGGCCACTATTTCTCCAAAGAGGACTGGCCTATCCCTATAAATAGGCTCCCATTTTGACCAAAAGATCATTCCACACTCTTGCTAAAATTCTCCAAAACTCTCAAACACTTTTCGCTCTAAATTCTAACTTTGGCATCGGAGGTTCTTCGGCCAAAGCCGCACCCCCCCCCCCCCAAAATTCATTGTGGGCGCGTGAGGCTCTTGGCCTTGACCCTAAGGTGCTATTTATTTTGTAGGTGCAATTTTGTCCAAGATCAAGGAGGAAGAAATTTGCATCCACAAATTGGTGCTTTCATTGAGAGCTAGAGATCCACACTCGTAGAAGACTCTCGCGTAAAAAGGTTTTTTGTCTATTTTTTCTATTTTCTAGTCCCCTTGTATTTTTCATACGTTATTATTATTAGAATTTTTTTATTTGCAAAGATTCTTTGATAAAACGTAAAAGAAGAATATAATGGGTAGAAATTTAGAAAATTCCACAAGTGAAAATTCCAATACTCAAGAAATGGGACCGCGGCGATCCGCAAGGCTAATTGTGGTCATAGGCGGAGTGGCACCACCATTACGAGGTTCCACCATGGCCCAAGCTGTGCCATCCAAGCTTGCACGGGCTCGAGTCCAAGCTTTGCAATTGCGTGCGCCACACGCCGAGCAGCCCACTCTCGCGGCCCAGCCTGTTCCCACCGAGTAGCCCACTCTCATGGCACAACTTGTTCTCGTGGCCCAGCCTGCTCTCGCCGAGCAGCCCACTATCGCGGCCTAGCCTGCTCCCACCGAGCAGCCCACTCTCATGGCACAGCCTGCTCCTGTGGCCTTCTTAGCAGCCCAAATCGGTCTAAGTTTAGTTCAACCATCCCGGCTCCAAATTTCTGAACCGACGATCGAACCGGGAGCATTTTCACCACATTTTTCTGTGGATTTGACATTTCCCAACTCAAATCTCGTGCCCAGAGTCTACCACACTTCCATTGCTCAAGGAGATACATTCCTTCCAAACTCTTCCAACCCAAATGGAAAACAACACTTGTCTCGACAAGTCATAGTGTTGACGAGCGACTTCGCACAGCAGACGACCTTGGTGAACTATCTCTTACAGCGCATCGAGATACAATGTGCCTCAGACGAGGTGTCCCAAAGTAGGACAATGGCAAACGAAGAACCTCTCCAGCAGCATCCCGGCAAGCAGCCACTCGACTAGCCACGAATCGAGCGTTTGGGCAGTGTACACTCCCGATTGGGCTCCCAAGATAGCATATACTCTCGTCTTAGCACACAGAGGAGCGTGTACTCTCAGCTAGGCCTATGGACGAGCATACATTCAAGGTTCGGGTCACACTCCAATAGTCAACATGAGCAGCCTTCCAAGCGAAGTGTTCATTCGCGACTAGGCCTGCAAGGAACATTCTCCACATCACATCGGAGCAGGCAGCACGATGGGCGAAGAGAAGCAGTCACTCAATCCGGCTCAAGTTCAACCAGCAGCTTGCGAAATCCCTCGCCTGCTAGGAATCCACCACATGCATCGCTGCCACAGCATAGACAAGCCGAGCACGTAGAAGAGTAGCCTAGAATAGCAAGTCACGACTAGGGGTAGCCGAGAGCTCTGCTACCCTAATAAAGGCAAATTCAGGAAGAAGTAGAGAGACTCTTGACCAAACGATTGTGTGATTTCCAACGCAACGAGGTCACTAACAAGGCACTACGACGGAACATGACCAACATAAGTAGGTCACCCTTCACGGACGAGATCGAGCAAGCAGAGCCTCTATGCGAGTTCAACATGCCACATTTGACATATTTCAAAGGGGATGAAGACCGGGAAAGACACTTAAAACATTACCGAGTGCAATGATCCTTCATTGAAACAACGACAGTCTCATGTGCAAGATATTCTCCACCACTCTACAAAGCGAGGCGCAAGATTGGTTTACACCCTGCCACCACAATCTATCTGAAGTTTCGACACACTTTCTTTGGTTTTTACAAAGAATATTCATCCTATCGCTCGATCAAAAAGAAGTCCTACCATTTGTTTAACGTCAAGAAGAACCCAAAAGAGTCGCTTCGTGACTATGTGAAGAGGTTCAAAGCAGAGAAGGCAAGGATAGTTGGATGCAACGTCTCGATAGCTAGAGCAGCCTTCCAAAAAGGACTTTCAGCAGACCATCCGCTATTCAGAAAATTGATCATGAAAGAAGATCTGACTTTAGCAGACTCTTTCGCTCTAGTAGAGAAGCATGCACTTTGGGATGAGGCACGCCAATGCACATTCAAGGACTTGAAGAAGTACTTGACATCACCTCCCTACTATCCAAACAGGAAGCAGAGGAGGACTGATTCACATGTTTGATGGTATCTGAAGCAGCAGTAGGCTCTACCATCATACGAGAAAAGCTGGGGGGCCGACTACCTGTATTCCACAGTTTAAAAGCTCTCGTCGATGCTATCAGAAATTCAAAAGCTAACTTTAGCGATAGTTGTTGCAACCTGAAAGCTTAAGTTTTACCTTTAAACGCATGCAGTCATCCTTATGACCCATTATTCTGCCCAATCTAAACACGTGACGATAAAGGTGTAGACCCTGACGAATGCAAAGTTTTCTAACGAACGTAACAACTCGGCCCAAAAGACACGCCAATGGTAGACGAACACTAGAATGACACACTCGGAAGCAAGTTTTGTCCTCGTCGCCCCAAAAGATTCTATATAGGAGCAACATGTACCATCAGTTGAGCACTACCTCCTACTGCGCATCGCTCGGCCCTAGCTGACCCTTGCTCCATAATTTAGCTCTAGAATGGTCTAATACCGGCAGTTGAGCATCTCCTACTACATGTAACATGACCCTAGCTCCACGACTCCTACCATACACCAAGATGCTAAGAAGTTAGTACAAAAGTGCGACCGCTACCAGTACTATAAGCCGATACCAGCACTGCCTGCCAGCGAGCTTCACCTGTATACAAGTTATTGGCCGTTGATGCAGTGGGCAATCGACCTAGTAGGACT